CGGCTATCCATAATTACCACGGCCCGGGGACATGCCCGAGTTAACAAGTAGCGTTACGGACGGGGACTTTATTTGGAAACATACTCCTAAGTACATCAATTTAGTATTTATATCATAGTGCAAAACAGTCAATATCTAATGACATAAACAAATTTTTTACTAAACAGTTCTTTAGTCCAGGTATATACAATCTTTGACTAATTAGTTTTTTAGTCCAGGTAATAACAATCTTTGACTAAACAGTTCTTTAGTCCAACAGTTTTATAAATAACAGTATAGTTTGCATAATACCATTCTTTTCCCCCAATTTAAATAAATAAAAGCATTTAAACTGGGGTCGTGAAAACTCACAGATTTGACGATGAATAGCCAAGGAGATGACGTTTGAAGCACTCAACGTCCGCCCTAACCTTCCTAAACAGTCCGAATCCAATCATTAGATCACCTAACGAGTCTTGCTAAAGATAAAGCCAAATTATATCTTATGTAATGCCAACGGTTTTTATGAATTAAAGTTGATACTTTTATTATTTGTTCTAAAAATGGACCAAAAATTATATATGTCAAAATCAAGGCCTTTTGCATATAAATTATGTTGTTGGTATTTTTGGTCTCACCAATTACTGCAAAAAAGAACCTTCCAAAAGTCATTTTATGTCCAACTTTTTATATCATCCAAAATAATGAGTTAGGCAGACTTTTCCCAAATATCAAGAATTTTGAATGGGTTTAAGGCACTCATTAATACCCAACAACCTTGAGTGACACAGCCCCCAAAACAGATTGCACACTCTTCGAGTGACGGCCATTTGGGGGGTCTAAACTCATCATTTTTCAAAGATTTTAACTCCATTTTAAAGCTAACAAATAAGGCTAACCTCCAGAAAAAGAATTACCCAATTCCATTGAGTTTTGAGGAAGATAAAACCGATTTGAGATGCATGCAAGATTCTGCCAGATTTCAAAATCTATCTTTTCATGATTAAAATCCACATGCAATGGGTTTTCTCCAACTTTCTTAGAGTTCAAAGTTCGTGGTTCATAGATTACCATCATTTGAAGACATTTTCATGTCTTGGATGTACAATCTCTCCTTTTGAGATCTCCAGAAACTTTATTTTCAAGAACAAGAAGTAGGAGTAGAATAAATAGGAATTTTTGATATTTAATATAGGTAAGATAGCTAGTATAATACCTGACCGATGCCGAGTCCGACAAATAATAAGTTCCAACTACGGCAAATTACAACCAAAATTGTAATAGCGGTAAGTCGGTTCGATTCCACAGAGACTCGGTTTCAACTTATTATAGCCAAACTAATGAAGTACAAGTTGACTGAATAAAAGTAAATACGAAGGGGGG